CCCCAAAACCCCAAAACCCCAAAACCCCTAAGCAATTATTTTTTATTGAAATATAATGCATAGTAATCTTTTCCTATTTTTATGGTGCTCAGTAATAGCTCTTGGTAACTTTCACTATGGCTACTCATTGAATGAAATAGATCAGATCTCAAACATAACACCATGAATATATAACTTTCTTCCAGGAAGTAGGGAGTGGTACAACCTATTATTTACTCAAATTATTCCAATGATGGCTGCATTGGTCTCTTATTTTGTATACAAAGTTTCCCCTTTAGGGAAAAGAAAGATTATGCTGTTTATAGCAGCAACTGTGATTCTTTCCAGCTGAATAAAGATGTTCAGAAGTTTGTCAACTTTGATAATAGGCCAGATGATTACAGGCGCCTGAACAGGAGTTTCATCAATAATTTGACCACTGTTTATAGCAGAGATATGCCCATTAAAGTATCGAGGAGGGTATATTGGACTTGCTCAACTTTTTATTACTATTGGTATCATGACTTCCTTGATTACTGGACTCACCTTTCCAAACTTTTCTGAACCAGAGAATAAAGGTTATTGTGATGATTTTGACGATCAACTTTCTTGGAGATATCTCTTCATTGTCCCCGCAATCCCATCCGCTATACAAATCATTCTGCTCCTTTTATTCTTCAAAGAAGAGAACCCCAACTTCTACGGTCGGAGGGCTTCTTCGTCATACCAACGTTTAGAAGAAGACTCAGATCCAGCTGAAGATCGTACTCATTCCTTGAACATGTTGTTACCCCAAGAAGTCTACAGAGAGACTTCAGGAGATAAGTCTCTCTTTAATATGTGAGTACTTTATGGGTGAGAAAAATTTTGACCGAGAATTTAGGAGGTTTTGGAAAATTGGGATCTGGACCTTGGGGTATTTGAGGGTTTTCTTTATACCAGGATAGGTAGGAAAGGGCTAGAAGGAATGTGGGTAAAATTTAATATAATATTATGATTGTGTTCAGATTTTTCTTAATTTTGTGATAATTGTAGTAAATTAAGTTTTTATGATATATTTATAGATAAAAAACTGTCATATTTTATCTTCCTCACATTTATGAATACTTTTTTGTAATGCACTAATATTTGAAATGTAATTCAGAGAAAATAATAGACTAATTATATTTTAGCTCTCAAACCCAAAGATGACTATCTCAATTCTTCCAACAACTAACTGGCATCAACATGATCATCTATTACTCACATTTTTTTTAAACTACACAATGATATGAATCAGTTAAACTTAAGACTTTTAGTAGGGCTATGCAATTTTGTTATGACACCAATATCTCTATATATTGCAGCAGTGACAAGAAGAAAGCCATTATTTTTGATTGGCTTTATGATATGAGCAGCATGAAATACCATGCTGTTTCAGGTTTTTGATATTGAAGAACTAGGAGATTCTATAAGCTTGGGGTCACTTTACACTATTTTTGCTATCTCCTTCATCATGTTATTTATCATAGCATTTAGTCTTACCCTGGGGACTATCACATGGGTGTATACTGCTGAAGTAATGAATGACTGGGAAATGGGTATCGCTAATATGACACACTGGAGTACAAATTTCATGATAAATTTACTACCAACACTAGCTGCACTTCTTGATCCCTCTCATGAAACAGACAAAAACCAGGACAGATATACTGGCATTTTCTTCTTACTATATAGTGGAGCATGCTTATGAGGTTTCTTCTTTACGATAGTTTATGTTAAAGAATCGATAATGTACCAAAAACAGAGGACTCCGATCCAGCAAGAATCTCTATCAGAGGACTCAAGTTTTTAATTCAAAATTTGTTCAATTTCGCTGAAATTTCAAGGGGTTTTGGGGTTTTGGGGTTTTGGGG